TATGTTTTTAACCTTAGCGGTGAGACAAGTTTTTTTGCATGCTGACTGGTGAGTTTGCTGGGAAACTTTTTGATATTACTGTTATAAAAAGGTGACATATAAATAAGTAAGCTTCCATCACAATTATTGAAGTTATAAAGTGTATCTGAACTCCAAAATGAATATTTTCTCTATTGTCATCCGCTTGCCTTTTTTGCCTTCCACAGTGTAGGTCATCTTTCAGATTCATGCACCAGTCCACTCATAACTGGGTCTCTTTTAACAAGCATCACAAGCAAGCACACAACTTGCCCGCAACAGGACCAGTATATGACGCAGAGATTTACTCACCTGTTTCCATACGTCGCTCCCTTGCTGACTGGATGAGTAAAGCAACGCTCTATAGCTTGTAAGAGATATTCTGCAAAGTTTCCGCCATCGAAGAACAATGCTGAGGAACAGATAAGGGTAGCAAGGGAGGGGGGGGGGTTTGACCACGCTAGCTCTGGATCTACTGCACCAGTCCAAATCAGGGACCTGCGGTCAGGTGAGGCAGGAATGTAACAAAAAATGCAAACTAGTAATCCGGGAAGCTAAAATAGAATGCGAAAAGCATATCGCCGCAGATAGTAAAAAAAAAAACCTAAAAAATTCTACCAATATATTAACAGTAAAAAGGTAAGAAAGGAGCAGATAGGCCCAATAAAGGCCGAAAACGGGAAGTTACTCACAAGTGACAAGGAGAGGGCCGAGGCGCTGAACTATTTTTTCTCCTCAGTATACACTCAGGAGGGAAACGGGTTCGACGTACGTGATAAAACACATAGTTCAACCGATAATATACCACAATGGTTGACAGAAAGCGGAATAGAGCATAGACTTAAAATGCTCAATGCAGATAAAGCAGTTGGACCAGATAACCTTCACCCCAAGGTACTTAGGGAACTAAGCCAGGTGATAACAAGACCATTATTCCTAATTTTTAAGGAATCCTTAGTGACTGGTAGGGTACAACTCACTGCCATCGGCAGTGATTTCAGCCAAGAGTGTAGATTTGTTCAAGAAACGTTTGGACAATTTCTTGAGGGACCGTAATATCCAGGGATACCAGTATCCCTAAGAATGAGATGATGAGTGGACCTATATGGGTTGGACTTGATGGACGTATGTCTTTATTCAACCCCAAATACTATGTAACTATATGTAACTATTTAAGAGCCTCACCTAGTATTATAGAGGAAAAAGCTGTCAGTTTCAAGTCTAAAGCTGACAGCTTTTTCTCCATTTCGATCAACTTATAACAGGCTACACAGCAGGGAAAGCCTCCCCACTGTGTAACCTGTCATGGACGGAGCGCTGCCTGTTAATCACAGGCGGCGCTGCATCCGGCTTTTGACAGCAAGTTAGGTTACACAGCAGCGGGCTTCCTCATTGCTTCTGTAACCTAACATAGTGAGGAAAGAGCTGCAACAGCCTCTACTCTATGTTGGAGGCTTGAGCTCTATGGATGGTTTGGGCCCATGGCAAAGCGCCATTGGTCCAAGCTGTCCAATCAAAAAAAAGAAAACACTGAGGACATCGATCTTCATGCCTCACCAGTGATGAGCAAGTGAGGGACTTGCCCTGTCTCCTCCCTTCCTCCTTCGCACTTGATTGGTGACCGGGTTGGGGGGTGGGACTTTGGTGGGCTGTGGGTGGGGCTTCGGCATGCAGGGGACAGGGCTGGGGAATGCCTCAACCAGCACCGAAGGTACCGCACATCACTGTTCCAAATGGGACATAGTGCTACATGCACTTTGTCCCCTGGGGGCCGATTAAAGAAAAGCATGTGAGTTAGGATTTATTTCCCCCCAGCTCATCAGCTTACAGAACTGAAACTTCCCCTGCAAGCCTAATATTAGTTTTCAGCAGAAGTAAAGTAGGGTTGCCACATGTCCAGGATTCACCCGGACAGTCCGGGTTTTGAATGCTGTGTCCGGGTTTCATTGCAGCAGAAACCCGGACACAAGATGTCAGGCACAGGGGCAACCAAAATTAAGATAGGGCTACTGGCCCCCCACTGAAAATAGTCTCAACGGTGATATTTAAATATGAATGGGTGGCGCTATTTACATATGTATAATCCACAGCTCATTCTCCCCCCACAAAATGTCTGTGCCTCGCTAGAGTGTTTGGGTTTCGCTTGAAGAAAAAGTGGCAACCATAAAGTAAAGTAATAGCAGTAGGAGTATTATACAAAGACAGATTTCCAGCAGTGCATTTGCTGAATTCATGAATTGATTTGGTACTTTCTACAGGAAGACAAGTGAACTCAAACAGTGTTTATATATATTTTTACCTGCAATTTCTATAAATAATGTTTTTCTGTTTTGCCCACAGCCATCAAGTCTTATTTCATTCTCTGGCTGTCAATTACCAGGACAGGTTTCCCTATGACAGGCTGCTCTGGGAAAATGCAGACTGTCATATTTTTTTTTTTTTTAAAGGAGATCTCCAGGGAATTCTCTAAAGTCAGCCATAGAGTTGCAAAGTGAAAAGCTGTTTATCTGCGCGGCTCCTTTTTGTGTTTATGTGTTTTTTGTGCACTTGTGTACTTTTGCAGCTCCAGGACTAGAGTAGAGAAAAATTAAAAAGTTAGGAGGCGGCTGTCATTTGTAAGGAGCACACGGAGCTCCTGGGATTTGTACATCTCTGTTATAATGGATGATTTGTTTTTATAAACATATATAAAGTGATGCACTGATACAAGGTTTGCAAGTACAAGTACTGATACTTGCCCAAGTACTTAGGCCTTGTTCACACCAAATGCAGACCAGATCTGCATGAGTTTCTGCACACACAGTGCAGTTGGTTGTGCCACGTTTTTGCCTCGTTTTTGATGCACTCAGGGCCGTTTTTGTTTAAAAAAAAATTAATGCGTTTGCATGCGTTCCAGAGTAGGTTACATAGTTACATAGTATTTGAGGTTGAATAAAGACATAAGTCCATCAAGTCCAACCTATCAGGATCTCATTCTAGGAGTACCTGTACCCCTGTATATTACCTGTACCCCTGTATATTATGGTCCCTTAAGAAATCGTCCAAAAGTTTCTTGAACAATTCCACATTATTTGCTGAAATCACCGCCTGTGGCAGTGAGTTCCAGACCCTAACTGATCTTACTGTGAAGAACCCCCTTCGCCCCTTGTGCTGGAATTTTTTTTCCACCAATTTTAGGTGGTGGCCTCTAGTTTTTGTAATGGAGTTAATTTTAAACAGTTTATCGCTAATGTTGCTACCACCATTAAACATTTTGTACATGGAAATCATATCCCCCCTTAATCTCCTCACCTCTAATGTGAACATGTTTAAATTTAGTAGCCTTATCTCGTAGCTCTGGTCCTCCATACCCCTAATTAGTTTGGTTGCCCTCCGCTGGACTTTTTCCAACTCAAGGACATCTTTTCTTAGTACTGGTGACCAGAACTGGACCGCGTACTCCAGATGAGGTCGAACCAATGATCTATAAAGTGGCAAAATTATAGACTTGTCCCTGCAATACATCCCCTTTTTAATACAGGACAAGACCCTGCTAGCTTTGTTTACAGCAGCCTGGCACTGCAAACTACCTTTCAGTTTGTGGTCTACAATGACCCCCAAATCCTTCTCCATTTCTGACTTCCCCAGCGGCATACCCATAATTGTATAACCCATTTGTTTATTTTTAATTCCAAAGTGCATTACTTTGCATTTATCGACATTAAACCTCATCTGCCACATTAATGCCCACTCCCCTATTTTATCCAGGTCCTCCTGTAATGTTATAGTGTCTAAGTCCGTGTCTATTACCCTCCCAATTTTGGTGTCATCCGCAAACACAGTAAAATAGGGCTTGCTGCAGTTTTTTTTACATGCTCTGGAACTGAACGCTGCTCTGTGAACTAGAGCCCAAAATACCATTGGAATACATTGGACGCAGTTTTGATCCGGTCTGTAACAGATCTGCTCTGCTCCTGGAACGCGCTTGGTGTGAACAAGGCCTTACAGATACGAGTACTGATATATTTTTGTTTATTCCCAAAAACAATACAGACCAATGATTTCAGGACAGTGGTGGAGCGCCAGAGCCCGGTCCCAGCTGCAACCGCTGCAACCCTGGTAGTTCTCATGAAAATGCCAAGTATCGGCACTAGTATCTGAAAAGTATCGGAGCATCCCTACCATCAATAGCTTCGGGGAGTTAAATGTGACCTTCAGTGCGTCGGTCTTGCTACAGCTCACCGTCAAAACAGAAATCACTGTTATACATAGACTGGCATGATTTAAAGTGGAATTGAGATGATAAACTAAGGGGGTTATTCACTAAGCTAAGGCAGCAGAGTGAATAAACCGAGCCAAAGTGAACTGAACAGAATGCCGTTTGACTATTCACTTCGGCCACGTGTGGCTGATTTCAGCCGTACATTGGCTAAAATCAGCCGTACAGATGCACGAAGTGAAGAAGTCGACTCAGCCGATCTAACATCTGGATTGGCTGAGCCGAACCTCCGGCAGTTCACACGCTGCTGTTCGCCCCTATTCACATAGGGGCCAAACGGCAGTGAGTAAATAGCCGAATGCCGCCGAGCGATCCCTGACCACAGTACAGATCCCTTCTGGGGTTTAAAATAAGGTATGTAATAAAAAAAAAAAAGCTGTTGATATGGGGAATGGAAGAGCCAGGGAAGTCAAATATAAGCAGATTAAACTTCAGCTTTAATATATGTGTTTTTGCCCTTTTGTTGAAGTTGATGGGCACGTGTCTTCTTTTTTCTTCTTGACTAACGATGTGACTATAATAAAATGAGAGGGGGCGTTGTATGATCTCCAAAACAAAAGCGGGTAGGAACCTGCGATAAAGTTTGTTCAGATCCTTGCACTATATTGAGTGGGCATGTATTATGTTACTCGGGGATGAGTCATGGAGTTGCCTGGTTTTTGCCTAGTGAGCTTTTTGTCTTTATTGATGCGCACGGAACAGATATTGTTAAATCAAAAGCTACCTCCGAGGCTTGCTGGAAGCTCTCCGGACAGCCGGATGAAGAATTGTTCTTCTCCCATAACTCAGCTGCATGGTTCAGCTCGGAGATTTTTCCTTCGTAGCCGATGTGGGAGCCGAGCAGCGTGACTTCGTAAAACTCCTGTATGTCTGCCGGAAAACAGAGGTGAGAAATAAATAACCACAGCCTCCACCGCCGGTACGGACTGTCAACTGGTTACGTTGGTGCTGATCTATAACATCTAGAGGCAAACAGCTGAATACAAAATTGCAGGACCAATATCTGTACTGTTAATTGGTTATTTGTTATCAGCTAGCTAAATAATGCAGCTTGGCAGTGGCGTGTCCACGGTATGGCACATGCCCTGGGTGCCATTTGAGGGGGGTGCCGCTCTGTGGGTCAGTGAAAGTTTGCTAACCCACGCAGACAGCTGACTTTTTTTAATCTCCCCACCCCTCTCCCATACACATCTCCCCACCCAGCTCTTATCAACCAGGGTCGCTCTGGCCGGCGTTCCGCCCAGCTCCTGGCAACCTGTGACATCACTGTTTGCCAGGAGCTGGGTGGGACACCGGCCAGAGCATACCAGGTTGCTAAGAGATGGGTGGGGAGATGTGTAAAGGCCATATACATCTCCCTGCCCAGCTCTTAGCAACTAGAGCGGGCAAAGAGACACTCCCCCAGCTCCTGGCAACCAGTGACGTTACTGATTGCTTGGTGCTGGGCGGAATGCTGGCACCACATACACATCTCTCCTGTCCGCTCTGGTTGCTAACAGCTGGGCAGGGAGATGTGTATGGCCCTTACACATCTCCACATCCAGCTTTTAGCAACCCGGGACGCTCTGGTGACATCACTGTTTGCCAGGAGCTGGATAGGCCGCCAGCCAGAGCATCCCACCAGCATCACTGGATGGCAGGGGCACAATTTTTTGTAGATACACCTCTGCAGCTTGGTCGCTGATCTACTTTTGCCAATGAAGAAGATTCACCACACTTGTAAAGGCTTCACTCTGTCAGCAAGCTGCCAATGTTAGACTGAAAGAACTTTGTAATAAGAGCCTGATTGGCTCATATTACTAGCTCTTTGACTCCCACTTAAAGTGCATTGCCACTTTTGCTGTCAAATTTGAGAAAACTCTATTCCTATTACATACAGAATACAGAAAAATGATTTATACTAATACATTTCTTACCTTTTAGAATGTCTACCTAGCACACAATACATTCTATTTTGCTTTTATTATGCCAGCATCAATGTAAAATAAAAATAAAATTATGCTGTGTGAATGAGAAACATGTACCAAATATAAAATATGTGTTATCTCAATCTGGCTGCAATAGTGGAAATACACTTTAAGTGCTAATATTAAGACAGATTCAGGTACTTAGACTAACTTGCTTTAAAAACCTTTTTTTTCAGTTAATATATAACCAGATCAAACATTAAATCTTTATATCATAATGCATTTCCACTTATAAAGATATATAAAACACAACTTAATCTACTTATGCATAGAAAAAAAAAATCACAAATGTATTTCCTATAGAACTCGCAAAAGTTCCTAATTCTACCCTAGTATTAGCCTCCTGAAATCTAAGCAGGTCTAAGACTGGGGGAGAGAGAAACACCACGAGGAACCAAAGTTCTGCTGCTTTGCACAGGGCTATCAGTCCAATGTTTGAAGAGACCTATAGGAGAAAAGAGCAGATTGATGACCTCCTCACTGTGCTGCTGTTTCTTTATTGTCCAATCAACAGGTTGGGGGCTTGTCAGGGATCAAGGTGTATTTCTTAGTTGGAGTAGAGAAATGTAAGGTCACCACGCTAGACACAATTTCAGATTAAACAGTTATCCTGCAGTGATCCATATTATCCAAATTTATATTCAGCACTATGTCCCTGCACAGTGCTCGGCAGCAGCAAATAACAAGCCTGCATGCACAAACCCCTAAAAAGTTTTGCACATCAATAAAATTAAAAAGTATGGATGCCCCACGTTGCTTTCAGTGGGTTTCCATGTTGTGCTGTAAATGGGCAAGCACCCAGGTAGTAAGAGCCTTAGAGATGCTTATAGGCGCACTTATAGGCGCACTTATAGGTGTACAAAATCCTCCAGTCATTACAACCAGGGCCACCGGTGAGGGGGGATGCAGGCAGCTCTCCTGTACAAGGCCCAGGCCCCTTCAAGCCCGCAGGGGGGTCCAGAGCCTGGCACAGCCCAGCCTTCTAGGGAAAGTGGACAGTTCTGCCCACTTGCCATGGTAAACAGTTGATGGACAGGCTCTTCCCCTCCTTCCCTATAGGTGTACAGACCCCTATGAAGGCAAAGAGGAGACAAGCCTGTCTATTAATTGGTCACCATGGTGAGTAGGTGGGTCTGTCCACTGGGCAGGTCATTCAGGGTCCCACCTGCTCGTGTGGACTGTGCTTAGGCACTGCTCCACCCAGTGCTTAGGCTCAGCCCCGTACCGCCCAAAGTCAATGGTGTCTCCAGAGGCAGGAGCTGGAGTCCTGACCTTAGAAAAAAAGTAGGGTGGGTAAACAATGTAAGAAGGGGGATTGAAAAGTGTGTAGAAGTTAATAGTGTTGGAAGAGGGTGGCAGCCTTCCACCCTCTTCCAACACTGTTACCATCTTCACCCTTTGCAGGGGTTAACAGTGTAGGAAGAGCACAAAGTCGATGATTAGTTGGGGGCCCTGTCAGGGAGGGTGTATGGGCCCTAGAATTTCTAATGGTGGCCCTGATAACAACACAGGCAGTGGTGTAGTTTTGTCACCTCACAGACCATAATTGGAAAGTTCCTTTAATGATTTCCACGACCCGTCAGCACGTGAACTCTTTTAGAGAGTGAGGAGGCGATAATACAGACGTTACATCTTCAGAAATACAAAATGTACCGGGAGATCACTTCAATTCCTAAGTGTGTGTGGGGTGTACATATGCACAAAGATTATATGCATTAAAAAAATACTGTGTATTCAACTATTACCTAGGAGAGGAAAAGATCTGCAGAACAAAAGTGATTCATAAATTTGACAACATGAATGGAATAAAAGCGTTTTATGAAAAGGGTCAGCCGTGGGCGGTTCGAGCGTGACTAGCGGGGGCAGCGCGGTGATTATGGGACAGCCCGGTAGCCATGGAGGTTTAGCTTCATGGCTGAGAAGGTGGCCCTGTTAACTTGGAGGACTGAAGGTCAAGGTTTATAGCACAGGAATGGCCTGTGGTGGGAAGTAGCACTGGGGCCTTGACTTCATTACCACCCCTATCAAAAAAAAGCAATACTTTAGTTTTTCGATACCATGGCTATGTCTCTAGTCTTTAATGCTTTACTTGATATATCCTTAGAAGAGTTTAGGTCAGTTGCCTTTTTTTGCCAGCCCTACACACACATGCTAAATGGGTGGAGGAAGAAAGGGCCTTCAGCAACACACCTCTTAGTGCTCCATCCTTCCTCCAAATGGCACCAACTAACCTAATATGTGCTCCCTATGTCAATGGCCAAGAGTTACAAAACAGTTAAAGTGTCTGTAAACCCAAAACTTGTTTTTACTTTTGCATAGAGTAGGGAAGGGCTAAGACCTGTCAGATATTTTTCTTGGTTGTCCCATCAGAAACAGTCAAACTCTACTTATGGTGACACTAAGGAACTCATTATAAATTAGCAGTGTGGCCTTTGGACTCCAAAGCATTGAAGCCCTGTTCATTTCAATGAACAGGAAGGAAGAAACCTGCCAAAGTTATGTTATCTGCCTTTCCACCAGTCATGGAATGTTCTCTGCAGTGTCTGTGAAGGTTCTCATTCATCCAGGTCATGGTACATCTGTAAAAAATAAATCAAAGCAACTGGACTTGCTGTATTTTTCTTGAAGACGTTTCACTGGTCAACCAAATAGCTTTTTCAGTTGGTTGGTGAATATCCAGCATTATCTTTCCTCCCCAGGCTGACTTTTCCTGGCCCTCATCTTTCATTCATTGGATTTCAGTTCTTTAAATCATGGAGGCTCAGCATCACAAGTGGGCGTTAGCTAGGGTGGTCTGTATACAAAAATGGCTTGTCTATGAACGCCCGCTCCTCCAGACTGACATGCACCCATCAAGGCCTATAGATATTTGCATAACCCCTCCCAAAAGTCAGCTCACTGCATGCATCAGGACTGAGGCTGGTCATCTGACTAGCTTTCTCAATTCCGAATCTAGCAGGGTGACCAGCGAAATGTCTTCAAGAAAAATACAGCAAGTCCTGTTGCTTTGATTTCTTTTTACAGATGTTTTCTGCAGACAACACGCCATGGGACACTGCAGGCTCTAAACTATGGTGTCAGGAACTGGATCTGAACCCAGGGCCTCTGGATAGCTCCTTGCCTGATCTCCTGTGTAATCCTCAATTATACCTAATCTCTGCTGAACTCTGAACTCCTTGCTCCTCCCTTGAACTTCCTATTTTAGCCATGCCTCTGCACTTCCTGTTTGCCAGATTATTGTCCTCCTGCCAATATCTTGCTTCCTTGCTCCTCCTGTGATACAATCCTCTCATACTGCTTCCCGTGTACCGACCTTTGGCTGCTGATTCACCGACTACTCTCATCGTCTTCCACTTCATACCTGATACCTTTGGCTACTGACCTCGGCTTGATCTCTGACTATGCTCCTGCCTGCTCCTATACTACTACCGTCCGCTTGTGTACTGAACTCGGCCTGTTTGACTACGACTTTGCCTGCTGTTTCAGCTACTGGACTCCGAGCCTGACCCGGATCGTGACATATGGCCTGCATTTTATGAATGGGTTGTAAAATGTAGGCTCAGTGTGGAGTAACACTGCAGTGTTCAGTTGAGGGCAGAAACTGATATCTGCTCTCCACTATAAATAGTCCCCTAACTGTGACAGCCAACAACGAAACAGATAGAGTACAGATTCCCTTAAAGCCGAAAAGGTAGTTTTTACTATTTATTAATGCCATAAGTTGATTTCTACATTGATCTTCTCCAGATCCCTCAAAAAAAAAGCATTCTTCCTCTTTTATTTTAGCCATCTAACGGTGGATATTAAATGTTAGCTGAAGTCATTTTTCTCTAAGTACAGAACTCTCTGCGGCACAATTGAAAAGTTGTGTTATCTTGCCAGATAAGTTGTGCAATCCCTACA